GGGAAGAGATGTAGTGAAAAAGTAAATCCAGAATGGCGCAGGCTGGGCCGCACTCTGCGCAAGACTCACTCTCCAAGGGAGATTTGAAGGGGCGGAAGGGAGAAATCAAGAACGTTACCAACAATAAGCGTCATTCAACAACAGTTCACCAGGCATTAAGTCTTCAATACAAATGTTCATAGAAACAAATTATTTATGCCGAGAATTCCAAGGAAAAGATTCTAGTCCCAGACTGCAGCTAGTTCACAGCCTTTCTCACAGCAGCTCAGAGCCATTCTCCAATACCAGAAGGAAAAGGAAAGAAGAATTTCCTAATCAACGACCTGAGTATATGAACACTCCCATTAAGCAGCCTGCTTATTCTTACAAAAAGCAACTGTTTCAACGTCAGAAGTCTCACAGTGAAGTTTGCATTAAAAATGCTTGAAGAATGCCTTTGGGGAAACAACCATGGATGTCATCCAGGGCTGAGGCCAAATTAAGAAAAAGCGTGCAGACAGATAACTGCTCAAGCCTGCATCTCTTTTGCCAGGCTTTTCCATGGTTTCCTACAGATCTAACAGCAGCTCTTATCTCAGGTTGTCAGCATCACTGAAGACGCAGACCCAGATTACATAAACGCCTTCAGGTATCTGCTTTCTACCCATTTCTCCAAATAGGTCAGGAAACAGGACCTTATAGGACAAATAAGGTCAGGAAATTTTTGACTACAATAATTATCATCCACTTCAGAATCAACAAAAACCAACCAAACACACACAAACACATACTCCACATCCTGAAGGACAAATACCATTAAAGTGGTAAGTCTCTAAATTTTACTTTTCTGCTTGTCCCTCATGCTCTAGCCTCCTTAACACTGTTGCTAGCGAATTTCCTCCCACAGAGCAGCCAGGACTAGCAACTCAAATACATTAGGATAAAAACAGGCAAAAGTATATAAATATAGTTTACTGGAAGCTTAGATCTGTATGGCAAAAGCAAAAGACAAGTTGGTCACATATTTTCAATTACTGCACCATAATTTCTGAATGTAAGTGATTGAATGGATAGGGGAAAATATGGAAAAAATACTATATAGGAAGTTAAATTGGTAAGTTTAAAAGGCTCAAATATATGACAACCTGCAATGCACCACTCCATGCAATCTTTAGTTTAACATAGTGGCAAATCGAGCATTTTTTACATATAAGCTTTCCATTTGTTTAGAGACTACATGTCTGTGTCACAGTCTACGAGCTGGAATCACAGCATCCGTCTCACCTTCACTGAGTTGTGAGGGAGGGAGAACCATGGACAAGAGGCTTACAAAACGAAGCTTAATGAAGAAACTGAAGAACTGAGGCACAGTTTAGTGGAACATGGTGACGGCTGCTGATTACGTGCTGAAACTTATCAATCAGATGAGTGAGAGGGTGGTGAGGCGGCACCTTCAAGATATTACTGCTTTTCCCCTTAAGTAATCAGCAAAAAGGCCATTTTTCTATCTCTTATACTCAAATGTCAAACTAGTTTTTAAACAACTGGCTAGTAATTAGTTTACTTGCAAGTTAAAAATTCATGACAACCTGTAGCTAATGATATATTACAAGAAACAGAGGGTAAAGGCTTTAAAAGTGAGAAACGTGACCAATTTAGCGATTGCAAAGTAGACAAGTGTCAGATTCAGCTATTCCCTAAGAGTATCAGATTTACAGAGGCAAACACCAATAGCCTCTTCATCTAATGAGACACATGCCATGATCTGTGATCTTTCTGCAATATTCAAGTTTGCCCACTGACTCACTTATTTCCATGATCTTAACAGACATTTACAGTATAATTTCAAGCAAACATCCTTCTTCTGCAGTAGGAAGGTCTTCCTCTGCACTACTGAAGCTGTGACCATCTTCCTGTAAGCTTTTGTAAGCCCAGCACTTGGAGAAAACTCCTTTCTCAAATAATGACAAAACAAGAAGGAGGCGTCTCCCTAGAGGGATGACATTTTCATGTATCACCAAATGAAATCAATGAGGACAATTTCCCCTTCCCAGCATCTGCACAGAGAGCTTCAGGCAAACCCCAAGAAGTTCCATCTCTAATGGAAAAACAAAAACTCCACTTTGCTTAATGAACATTGGTATTAGCTCTGGTTCAAATAACATTGAAGCTGGAGTTCATTTTTACTATCTCTAGAAGTAGTCTGCTGTTAAAGTTACATATAAGCCATAACCGCAAAAGGAACAGAGATTTAAAACTAACTTGTGGGTAACATCACTCTGCAAAGTCCTTGCAGAAGCAGCCATACAGCAAATACAGCTCTTAGTTTTTGAATGTTGTTATAAAAGAGTAAAACGACGGGCACTCATTTTAAAAGACAGCCACAGAAAGCCATGTTCTCTCCTACCATCATCTTAGTTCCAGGAGGACTATCAATGTGCAGCAACAGCAAGCCAGTGCTGCAAGATCAGCCCCCTCTGCCACTCTGAAGAAACTGAATCAAAAAATAAAAGTACACAGCTGGTACAACATAATATGCTAGCAAGTCAGAATTATTATTGTGATAATTATACTGCTTAAAAGTATTTCAAAAAAATCAGGAACATGTTACAATGTTCTTAAACAGGCATCCTATACTAAACTGAAAAAATCTTGAAAATTCAGTCATAGTGATAGTGCATTAAAAATATATATATGAGTTTCAAATCTTCATTAGCACATGTTGCTGGAGAACCCATTATAATCACTTACTACCCAAACATTAAACTTTTTTCTTTTTGAATAAAACTGTACAAGTAAAAATAAATTGAAACTTACTGCAAGACAGTATAGATTAGAGAGGATAAGTATTTTAAGAAGAAAACTCAAAAGACAAGTACAACTTGTTCAGACAAGAGAAGATATTTGGTAGTGGCTCTTGGCTGCTTTTCAATTTGGAAACTAATACAAAGAGACTGAATGTCCAGTCATTTTACAACATCTTACCTAGAGCCCATACCAGTATTGTATTTCAGTCCCAAATACACACCAATTGCCTCGCCGGGGCCCAAAGATTACTTTTAAGGAAAATTAGCAAACAAAAACGGTATCTGTGGAGCCAGAAATAACTAACATGAGGACCACTACCAACATGTCCAAAAGGAAATCTCAATCTCACTGCTTGCAACCTGCAACAGGCTCCACATTCCTGATCCCCCGCCAAGCCCCACTTTATTGCTGACTGCACGGGCTCCAGAGTTCACAGGAAAAAGTGACATTAACTAGAGAAAACCTGCACAAAAAGGCAGGGTTCACTAAACCACTTCTGCCTCTACCTTGTGAGCACGCAGCCTCTGTTAAAACACATGCACATATAGCGAAGACACGTCACGAATGTACGTAGAAGCGAGCGAGACAAGACAAGTCTCCCCGCATCCGTATTAAGCCTCCTTCCTAGATGCCAGTACCTGTTTATTCCAAACACTGGTCTCTCCAGTAGACAACAAGGTGTGCTTTTTTGTTTAACTACAGACATCCCAGCCAACAGGACTGCAGTGAAAGCAAAATAGTGTTCTCAATTTAATTCAAAATCTAATGACAGTACAAATAGGTAAGGCTAGACACGCTGAAGCAATTCGGTCGCCATCTATAAAGTGAGGTTATATTCAATAACTTCAGAGAACTCACCTAACAAAATTATAAGCTGCTAAAATAAATTGCAGAAGGTAGGAACTATTTTTTTAATCAGGCCTTAGAAAATCGAACTCAAGCATAATCAAGACGAACAACACGGTCCATTTTTTGCTTCTTTTATTGCCCAGCTTCCCACGATAGCAGCTGAAAGCGTTGTTCTCTTCTCTTTAAACCAGGAATTGGTTCCATTGAGGGCGTCACACAAAACTTTCAGCCCTGCTGCGGCAGAACTGCCCGTCCCCTGGGGCAGCGGCCCGGCCCGGCCTCGCAGGGAGGCGGCCGCGGCTCCGCTCCAGCCCTCGCCCCCGAACATCTGCGGCCACAGCTGCTCCCGCGCGATCTCCCCGGGCCCCGCCGCTCCGGAGCGCCCGGCGCCGCTTCCCCTCCTCGCCCCGCTCAAAACGTTGAGACGTATCACCCCAGCGCTGAGGAAGAAGCGTGAGAGCACGATCACACAGGAAAACAGGGAGCTCTGCAGCCATGATCAGAGGAGAAGGGACAGAGGGACGGGGCAGGAGCGCAGGAGACACGGGCGCTATCGCGCAGAACCGCGCACGGGGGCAACTACCTCCCCGCTAGCCCCATAAAATAAAGGCACAGAAAGCCCCACAGAACGCCGTGGCGAACACTCCTGGAGATGGGTCAGAGAGGGGCCATTTCCGATGTTCTCCCGCGGGAGCACAGCTCCTCCCCGCGCCTTTGTGCGCGGTCGCGGGGAGGCCGGAGGAAACGCGCTGCCG